TGGCAAGCTGTTGCTGCTGCTACTGCTGCGGCTGCTGCTGGTGGTGGTGGTGGTGGTGGTGGTGGTGTGTGTGTGTGTGTATGTGTGTGTGTGTGATGGGTTCTAGCTCTTAGCTCTCCGGGTGTACGTAGAGCAGGGGGAATCCTCATTAACAAGTCCCCATGGCTTTGATGCCCTGCCCTGCAAGATCTGTTTTCTCATAGGTCTGGATTGGCTAGTAAATGAACTGGGGTCTAGACATAATTCACAGTTTGGTGCTGTGAAACCATCACCGACATGCCTCCCCCCCCCAACAAAGTGAGTACAGGAGGCTAGCAAGATGGGAGCCAGCTGGGCTCTCGGAGGAGGAGTTTGAAGTGGACCGTCTAAAAGTTTCTGCTCTGGCCAAGAACACCGAAGCCAACTTCATGACTTCTGTGTGTTTTAAAGGTAAAGTAGAAGAAGAAATGAGGTGCAAGGCTGTAGGCAAAATGGGGAATTTCAGATTGCTCAGGGGCCCACCAGCCATCCCACTCAGGTCACGGACTAGCTGGCAGCCGTGAACATGCATTACCTCAGACGTGTTCCTGAGACAACCTTCCTCCCTCAAGGATCCAGACCTCAGGGAACGTTCACTCCCCCCTCAGCTCCGAGCGTGCTCTAATGTGCCCAAGTTAATTCCATCTTTGCACCAGTGTGTGCCGGAGAAAGGGTGAGCATGGCATTTCAACAAACCTGCTTTTAGGTTGTCTGCCCGAGTGGGAAGACGTGAATGGAGCAGCACATCCCGGCATGCAGCTCGGCAAATGCTCGCCTTGATCACCGAAACAAGTGTGCAGAGTCACCACATCCTGGCTTCTAACCCTTCAACCAAGTCAGTTTGTGTGACGTGTGCATAGGAATGTATGTATGTACACATATGTATGTATATGCACATGTGCATGTATGTATGCGTGTACATGTATGTCCATGTATATATGTAGTATGTGTACATGTGCAGGTATGTGCACATATATGTATGCGTATATATGTATGCATGCATGTATAAGGATGCGTGCGTGTATATGTATGTATATATGTATAGGCATGTGTGTGTGTATGTATGTACACATATGTATTTGTGTGTGTGTATATGTATGTATATTGTAACTGGGATGTGGGAGTTGAGGGTATGGCTCCGTTGGCACTTTTACCCAATGAGCCATCTCTCCAGCTCCAAATCTACTTTTATCCAGCATACAGCGTATCTGTCCAGGTCCCCGAGTCGAACAGTGTTTAAAGGGGGAGAGGCTGCAGCTCAGCTAAGAGCAGACACAGTAAGTGAGATCTCAGTGTTACTGGCCGGTTAACTCCGATTCCTAGACCATGGCACCTAGGATAGTGTGTGCTCTTTGGCCAGCTTCAGTCTGACACCCTGGGGTTTCTTGCCGTGTGCAGCTGTGAAGTGTTCGTCGCCATGTATTTAATCATGGCAAGTGCAATGCATTCGTCTGCTCTACTGCGGACGAATATTTAGTTGGCCTCCATCTTGGGAACATTGTGCTGCACTGATATCAGGATAGACCTGTTCTGATAAGAACGGCTTCCTGTCTCTTGATGGACTCCTGAGTCCCTGTAGGAGACACCACACTCCATAGAGACACTGGGTCAGTTTACACCCAGCCTTTGAAGACACTGCTAATTTTCTGCAGAGGTGACATCTCTCGCACCCCATCTGAAGTATATGACAATTATAAATCCCTGCCAATAGATATGTCCTCTCCACCATTGCCATCAGTGGGAGGCGTGTTAGAATTAAGGCTAGCCCTTTTCTTTTGAAGAGATTTGTGGAAAGCCAGGCACTCCTCCCCACGAACATGGATAAGAAGCAGCAGTCCAAATGGCTAGTAGCCCCCTCCCACCATGATGTCAGTCAACTGTTAAAGTTAAAAAGTTAAAAAGCACCTGGCTACTTTCTTAATCTGCTGAATTAACAATGTGTCCAGGCTGACCTGGAATAGAGTTTGTCCTCTCTGGCTCAGTACATCTCTGAGGATCTTCACACAGAACACCTTTGTGAAGGTGATAGCCAGAGGCTTCACTTTTCTGATGTGACTCCATGGCGGAATTCAGTGATTCCTCTAAAGCCAGGGGGTTCTTGAAGAGTTGATTTGAGCCTGGAACCAGGACTTCAGCTCCCTAGATTACAGCCTTTCCACTTCGTCTTTCCTGGCAGAGAGCACGATTGTCATCTCTCATTCTGTGGAGACAGTTGTCAGTCCCCTGATCACATAGCGGCAGCTTCCACTCAGGGCAGATTTTGTAACTGATGGGCACACAGCCATGCCAGCTGATGGAGGGGCCAGCCACCTTTGGGAGAGAAGCCATTAACAGTTGTGATCCTTGCCTTACCCTGTTAGAGAAAACTGTCAGCCATGTGAGGTTAGTCCCTGGTCCTCTGGGGGGAAAAAGGACTGGTGTGCCTTAGTCATTAATCACGAGCAAGGAAACAAAGACAGTGAGAAGAGTGGCTGCCAACGGCGTAGTAGCAAGTCTGCCTTCAGTGAGGCAGGCCCAGCAGCTGTAACGGCAGCCATGGCACTCCAGCTGGGGTGCAAAGGAGCGGCCACTAATAGAAAGACTCGCGGAGCACCCGAGAACACCCGTGACCTAATAAAATACGTCCCTGCTGCAGAAGCCTCTGTGGTTCTCAGTAAAGTGCTTTGCCACATAAGACAGTACAAAGCGCCCTGCCGTCCACTTGCCCTCACAGCAGGGGGCAGATTTAACCCCTGCCCCTTTCTGACAATGGCAAATTTGTCTTTGGAATCTAACTCAACTGACAAAGGTTTACACGCTTGCTGCAGGACAGGCAGCTGAACTGCTTGTCACTTGCCCCAGTGACCCTAGTCACGTCACGCTGTTGTTCTAATGCAATCTGTACTCACTGGTGTGATGGTTCATACCATCAGCTTCACAGAATTTAGAATCACTTGGACGATGGGCCCCCGAGGGGGCTATATTTTGGTTATGTTGACTGAGGTAGGGAACTCTGTCCACTGCGGGCAGAACCATTCCCTAGACTGTACAAAGGGAGAAAGACTACTGTCTCTCTGTCGACTGACTGTGGATATATGGAAAGCTGCTTTAAGCTTTGGTGCTCCCCAGCCATCATAACCTATACCCCTCAACTGTGAACCCTTCTCCCATCAGCTACTTTTGCCAGGGTGGTTTTTTGTTTTGTTTTGTTTTGTTGTTTTTTAGTCACAGCAACTAGTCTTAGTTTCTTAGGTCAAGGCTCCACCTGATCCCACCCAAAGATGTTCTGTACATCTTGTCTTCTGCCTTGCACAGATCATGTTTTCCTGGCTTCGGCAGGGACTCTGTCCTCTCCCTCCCTCTAGTGTGATTTACCTCCATGGTGCTCCATCTAATAAGCTTCTCACTCTTTTTAAAGTGTCTCCTTGTTAGTCTTGCCTGCTTTCCTGGCAAAATGAAACCCCCTGATTTAGCTGTAAGTCCTTCTTGCTCACTGATGTATCCCCCACATGCAGAACAGCCACAGGATACTCAGTAACAGTTGAGTGTGTGGCTAGAATGACCCAGTTGTGAACTAGCCACCTGCCACTCACTCCTTTCTGCTGCCCACATGGAGACCTCGCCCTTACTTGCCAGTTCCTTTACCAAAGCAGTGTCCTCAGGTGGACACCGAACAGAGTGGTGGGGAACACATAGGAAAAGAGATAGAGATTACCTGATTTTAACAGTACAACATGGAACATCCGAGAGCTCCTTTACCTTCCAGATCTCCCAGAAAGCTTCATTAGAGAGATTATGGGTTTTGCAGAGTCTCGGCACCACATCATCACATTACAAGATATTTTACATTTTCATTACTGTATGCTGTGTGCACATGTGTGTCTGATGTGTGAAGAGCAGGCACATATACGCCACAGCATGCTCGTAAGGTCAGAGGATAACTTTTGGAGTTGGTTCTCTGCTTCCACCTTTACATAGGTTTGAGGAGCAAACTCAGGTCATCAGGCTTACATAGCAAGGGACAGTATCCACCAAGTCCCCTCAGCTGCCCACATTATATATTTTTTTAAAATTGGCCTTTTCGTTCAGTAATAACTTTCATGGCCATGATACAACCCCAGAAAGCCGCTGGGGCTTTGAGAAGATTTACTTGTGACACAGCTTTTGGGAGAGTGTAACCTTTAGCCCAGCACACAGCTTGGCGCCCTTTAATACCAACTGTGTGAACTACTGCAGAAAACGGGTTCAAACTGCCCATTCCACGGATGAGGAAGCTTGAGATACGATTCAGGTACCTTTCTCAGCTCACACAACTAGTCGGTCACACAACCTCCCTAAGGCCTGTGCCTCTGGACCCAGCGGAGTCCTTTCCCTGCAGCTCCATGCACTAGGCATGCGAGGCCTTTCACTGCACACACATTTTCCCAGCAGAGGACAGAGCGGGGGAAGGGAGAAAGGTGCCCTTCAGCAAGCATCCCAAGCACCCGCGGGCTCCACGGATGCTCTGGTTCACACTGCAGATGAGCCGACAGCGAGCTCAGATAAAGCTAGACCCACAGAGGCTCTAGACTCTGATCGTGTGCTCCCACTTCCTGCATCTCTGCTGGAAAGAGGAGCAGCTGGGGCTTGAGAGCATGTGACAGGGCCGGGGCACCCCAGCAGAGAGGGCAAGGCCCGCCCTCACTCCGAGAAGCTCTGGTGGGGGAGGGAGATCGGTTCCCCAAAGCAGGACTTGGCCAGGCCCCGGTGGCTACAGCTAGGCAGCTGGCGTGGGAGACAGGGAGCACCAGGGAGGAGCCAAGATGGGGATGAAAGCCGGGTTCTTCCGAAAACTAGCCTCTCCGATCAGGCTTCTGGGATGAAGAAGGGCCCAGGACCCCGCTGCCTGGGAACACCCTGGACTTGGAGTCGCGCATGCCGCTGCCAGCAGCCTGACCCGGGCTCAGCGTTCCGGAGTGGGGGCACGGCGGTGGAGGCAAAGGGCTGGGCCCCTCCCTGCCTACCTGTAGTAGCGGTCATCCTTGAATGGCGCGAGGTCCTCCCTGAGCTCGCGGTAAGCCTCCTGCAGCCGCCGGCACAGCTGCTTGAGGCCACTGCAGAGCGGAGGCTCGAAGGCTGGGTACTCCGCGTCCATGCCCGCTCCGTGCTCCGCCCTCGCGATCTCCGTCCTCGCCCCCTCTCCACCGCCGGCTCGCGGCCCCCGGGCCCCGGCGCGCTTGGGCGGGACTGGGCAGGGGGAGGAGCAGAGGCCGGAGCTGGGGAGGGGGCGCGCACGGAGGCGCCACCACCCCGCCCGAGGCCCGGGTCGCCGCCCGCCTGCCGGGGGCCCACGGGGAGGGGGAGGCCCAGCACGAGATCGCCGGCCGACCGCTGCCGCCCTCGCTGAGCCCTGCACCGGAGAGAGAAACTGCGAGGGAGAAGCGAGGGAAACCGGCTTGAGGGCGGGCCCAGAGGCCTGCTTTGTAGGGAATGCCCTAGGCTGGAAGCGGGCAACCGCGTTCAGCACCGCGGACAGATCCCCGCGACCAGCTTCTCGTCGGGCTTTTAAAAACAAATCCCTAGGGCTTAAGAGGCGGCCCAGCAGTTCAGAGCACTTGTTGCTCTTGCAAAGGACCTGCGTCCTGTTCCCAGCACCCACATGACGTCTCTCAGCTCCTAGTGATCCAGCTCCCTCTTTCTGACAACCACAGGCCCTCACCGCATGCACATAAAGGGAAGTGTTTGCTTATGTCATAGTATCATTTTTAAGGATAATGGGTTATATCCAAGAAAGAGGCCACTTCCTACTCTTCCTCCAAAATACTGCCTGGGAAAAGGAGTCTCTCATCCCACAAACCTAACAGTGTGCACAATAAAAACAACACATAGGCTAACACACCTAGAGTGACGCAATCTGTGTAAGTCTAATGAAAAGTGCAGAAACACTTCTTTTAAATAGTGTGTTTTCACTGGGATCCAGGGCAGGTTCCCATGGAAGATCAATCTTGGGAAACCTGTTAAAAAATATAAACATGTGTGTGTGTCACAACTGAGTTTAAATTTTAGAACATGGGCCTATCTTGTTTCTCTTGCTGTTCAAAACGTACAAAAGCAACATAGGGAAGAAAAGTTTATTTTAGCTCACAGTTCCAGGTCGCAGCCTGTCATTTCAGGGCACAGTGGCAGGAGCTTGAGAAAGCCAGTCACAGTCAGGAAACAGAGAAAGGAAGGAAACGACACGTGTGTGACAGTCAGCCCTGCGTCTCCACACAGCACAGGGAGTGGTAGATCTTCCACCTCAGTTAACAGAATCAAGGCCCTCACAGGCCAACATAGACAACTGGTCTTGAGACTCTCTCCTCAGGTGATTCTAGGATGTGTCAAGTTGACAAAGCTCATCATCATGGTGGCCCTGAAAAATGGCTTGCTTGGCTCCCCAGGTGAACCTAACCATCACCATTACACAGCCCCAGCCTCCCCCTGTCTTCTGCTACCTGTAACTACTCGTTCATGTTTATCACTGCTTTTCATTTCTTCCCTCTTAGATTTTGATTAACTTTGTTAGCTAGCCAAGCTCTCCTCTTAGGTCGGGTAAATCTTCACATAGCTTCAGAACAACTGTAGGATGTTCTTTCTGAGAGAAAATTCTGTTTCATGGACACAACTGCCTTCATGCATGCCCCCAGCACGCATGCGTGCATGCCTGTACGTGTGTGTGTGTGTGTGTGTGTGTGTGTGTGTGTGTGTGTGTGTGATAGACTCCCAGACAGCCGAGGCTAACCTGGAATTCTTCATACTCCCATCTCTACTTACCGAGTCCCGTCTTTACGCTGTGCCCCACCATGCCTATCTTCACGTTTCTGATTGTCTGTGTTTTGTAGGGATTTTTTTAAGATGTCCAGAGATATGGCTAAATGCTCCTACCTGGGAGCGGTGCACACACACTTAGGAACTCTGTGCATGGTTGGGAGAGAGACCTTGTTGTACTTAGGAGCGGGTAAGCACCTGGTGCTCACGTGCTTCCGTGAATGACCATCTAAGGAGCACACATGCACATGGGGCACACCTCTGCCCCTGCAAGGCAGCCTCCGTGTGTCCTGAGAGCTCGGCTGCTGGTGGCAATTCTCCTTGTCCAGTGGGCTCCACACCAGTGATCCCATCTATGAGGCAGAGTCTCTTCCTGAGACACGTGGAGAGGTGATGAGTCCTCATGGAGCTGACGGGCTCCAACGCCCCTCTGTCAACTTCATTATTGGGCCCATCATGCCATTTTTTAGACTACCTGTGCTTGAGGATCTGTTGAAATGTGTGCCGTTATGTGGTATTTGCAGACATGTCTATAGATGTAGAATGGGAGGGCTTGAGGGAATAGACATGCCAGCCTCTGCTCTGCTGACCATGGTGCAGTATCACGTGGCACCACACTCCTGTGGTGTGGCTGTGCCACTCCTGTCCAGGGGTAGGATCTTGAACCGAGGCTGACCTTGCAACCTGTGTGGCTGAGTGAAATGAGTTGGGTGTGACACTACCTGTCCAGGTTTGCCGTCCTCTGAGGGCAGCCCCTGTGGAAGGAGCTCTGGACTGCCACACTGGAGTTACCATGTGGAGAGAGACTTGCAAGTTGAGAGGCTGTGTACAGGGAACCTGAGGTGCCCATCACAAACTTCACCAGGCACCAGGCTGAGAGCAAAGCTTTCTCCAAGGCCGAGGCTGCACTCAGCCTGCAGCTGCAGCAGCCACAGACTGGCGAGAGCGAAAGCGAGTGGTCCAGGAGACACCTGCTGTCACTCTACCAGCCCAGTCCTGTGCTGCTGATGTCACAGGCTGGTTGGCTTTTGGAAGATTCTCTTTCGAGGACAGAAAATAGACAATTTGTCTGGTTGAGTCCTGTCTTTCCTAATGGAGGGTGAAGGTCTAGTTGCCAGCATTTTAGGAGGCAGATGAGGTACAGCAATAACTCACCCGAGAGAGACCACAGGGAGCTGAAGACACAGCCACTCTGCTCATTCAACTTAAGACAGTGTAGCAGCCACTTTAAGCTAAAGCAGCATGTGTGTGTGTAATGGCCTGTTTTCCTGCCCTGCAGAGTACTGGGGTAGCTTTTCTTATAACACATTGACACAGTTCGTATGTGTTCCCTCCCAAATGCCACACCCAGCGTTTTCTGTCCCTTATATGCCCATTTCCACTCAATAGTAAATAGTTTACACATTTGGAGCTGTGACATATATTCTATTTAGAATTCTGCTCTTTCACTAGTGATTGACAGGGACACATCATTATGAAGTTTCTTAAACACCAGCAGTGTATCACACAAGCAGCCTTTTCTCATTCACTATTTTGTTTTTATGTCTTGTTATAAGTAATGCTCAGTAATGCTGCAATGAATATGGATAAATCTTTCTGTTTAAGATTATATCCTTAGAGTAAAAAAATGAAGTTACTGAGCTAAAGAGTATAAACATTAACAACATTTTTATCATAGAAAACACCAAACATATAAAAAGTTAATGAGCCCTTATTTTACATGAACTCTGCAGTGACTTCTGTGAATGCCCATTCCAACTTCAAACTGGGATTTGTATTTATGGGAAGATGTGTTTAATCAAAATAATGAATCTATAAATCTCTAAGGGTGGAATTTAAGGCAAAAGCTACTGTGTTAAAACAGGATGCTGAGGCTGGAGAGATGTCTCAGAGGGTGAGAACACTTGCTGATCTTCCAAAGGTCCTGAGTTCAATTCCCAGGAACAACATGGTGGCTCGAAACCATCTATAGTAAGACCTGGTGTGCAGGCAGAATGTTGTATAAATAATGAATAAATCTTTTAAAAATACACTTTATTAAAAAAACAAAACAGGAGGTACGTAGGCGTGGCAGTGAGCTCCCACTGCTTGGAAAGCAGAGGCAGAAGAATGGAGGAAAGTTTGAGGTGAGCCTGACCTTCAGGACAGGTTCAAGACCAGCCAAGGCTACATTGTGGGGGTGGGGGACTCTGTAACTTCAAGACTAATGTCCCTCAGGACACAGGCAACTACTTGTACCAATTTGACTGCCTCCCACACTCCAAAATAGTGCTGCCAATGATCGAGTGTACGATAAATACTGTTTATTGACTTAAGAATGTAATAGCCCTAACAGCCAATCGAGGACTAACAGAGACCGAGAATTCTGTAAACACGATGGCAGCCAAGTCTGTGAGCACAAGTCATAGACTGTTTTCTATAAGCATCTAACGTGTAATACAACAGCGCCATTCAGTGACCTCAGACCCCCTCCACAGAGCTGAGTAAGTCCAGAAGCACTGAAGGCTCCACAGGAATCCATCAGCATTTCTTTCCACCAATCAATACTCAGGCCTCCTGCTTAGATTGATAATTTTGTTTTTAAAGTAGAGGTCACTTATGTTGACAAGTTATCATTAATGTCCCTGATCACACATGTGGCTATGGATTGTCTGTTGTCTGTGGCTTCTTTCCCGATTTTGGTTGAGCCTATTGAATCTTCTAGGAAAAAGAACCCAGCTTTCCGAGAGGGAAGTCTTCAGGATCAAGTGGATCACCTGGATCTGGTTGACCTGTCTGCACCGCTATTCTCAGAACTCCTCCCAGGCATGACCTGATCCTCGCTTGGAGCTGGCTTTCCAGTGCTCTGATCTCTCTGGACTGTGATTTGCTGTTTATTGCGACTAAAGCAACATTGAAGTGCCCTATTTCTGCCTCAAGGTTCAATTAAAAATAGAGGTGTCAACTCCCCCATTGCTTAGGGCAGGAGGGTCACTAGAGGCTGAGTTCTACACTAGGCTAAGCAGCACAGTGAGACCATCTTAGAAGTAAACAAACAGGCTAGAGAGAAGGTTCAGTGGGTAAAGTGTCCACCTTGCAAGTGTGAGGAACCTGAGTTCCAATCTCCAGCGCTCATGTAAATGCTCAGGTAGACTGTCTGGAAGTCAGCTCAGAGGAGGCAGAGACAGGGAATCCCTGGGGAAAGCTGGCTAGCCTGACTTGCCAAAATGGAGTGTTCTGGAGACAGTGAGAGGCCTGCCTCAAGATGTAGGGTAGGCTGCAATCAGGGAAGAGACCTGACATCAACTTCTGGTGTCAACATGCATGCACACACATTTGCTCCCATGCAAGCGTGCTCACACACATGCAAACACTCATCACACTCACACATGTGTACAGAAATGAA